CCCTACTACTACTACTACTACTACTACTACTACTACTACTACTACTACTACTACTACTACTACTACTACTACTACTACTACTACTACTACTAAGAAGAATTAGAAGAATTAGAAGAATTAGAAGAATTAGAAGAAGAAGAAGACAATATAACTATGCAACAGACGATACAACAAACAAGAGAAAGACGTTTGCGTCTCTCCTCGACACCGTACGCATGTAACAGAGGCCGGGAATAGGTCAACGTAAAGAAAGATATTATTACAATTATTTGGTCGCTTTTAAGCACAAGGGGGCTATCTGAAAAACGCTGTTCGGAGAAAATCAAAGGTAGACTTTTGGACTCTTGTTCAGTTTCTTTAAAAGACAAGGAGAGTTTTCTTTATAACCAAACAAATACACACACCAATGAAACCAAACTTCTCCTATAGGTAGGGCAATGCCCACTTTGGGTGTTGGTGTAGATTTCTGGAAACCCCCGAAATCTGGGTTCGCCCGCTTGTCCTTAAAAGCGACCATTTATACGACAACTTACCACCAATGCCATGGCCACGGGCATGACTCCCTTCGCCCCCAGGCCGTAGAAGGACAGATTGAGTGTCTGGGACAGCTCCAGGTTCCGGATACAGTTAGACGCGGGAGTCACGCCGGCCTTGAGACACGCGCGCTCGTACGTGCGGATGCCGGTCTCGTCGTAAGGCTTGGCATCCACTGAAACACAGAGAGACAGCGTCACGTCTGTCAGTAAGTGCTGGGCGGCTAGGTTCCCGATTATTGAAAGCTAGGAATTGTAGGAATCGACTCCGATCCCAATTACTTACTTTCTAATGATGTGAGTTCTTCAGGTGGTTATCTGGTTGGCTCCAACATCTTCAGGATTTAGAATAACCTTGATTTCGGAACACTCAGAAACATAAAATTTTATTTTTCAAAGATACATTCTTTTTTTTTTTTTAAAGAAGATTATAATGATTAAAGTAACTGGTAACCGTTGGGTTTCGTGAAAGGGAACTTTTCTTCTGTTGCATTAGTCGTGGGAATCGGTTCCGGAATTGATTCTTCGCCTTGCTCTACTCGTCAGTAGCAAAATGTCTGTGAGTAGCATAATGTCTGTGAGTAGCATAATATCTGTGAGTAGCATAGTGTCTGTGAGTAGCATAATGTCTGTGAGTAGCAAAATGTCTGTGAGTAGCATAACGTCTTTGTAGATAACGTCTTTGAGTATCATAACGTCTCTGAGTAGATAACGTCTCTGAGTAGATAACGTCTCTGAGTAGATAACGTCTTTTGGGTAGATAACGTCTGTGAGTAGCACTATGTCTGTGAGTAGCATACTGTCTTTGAGTACGTCTTTTGAGTTAATAACATCTTTGAGTAGATAACGTATTGAGTAGCATAATGTCTGTGAGTAGCATCACGTCTCTGAGTATACGTTAACGTGTTTCTGTAGATAATGTCTTTGAGAAGCATCACGTCTTTAAGTAGATCACGTCTGTGATTAGAAGTCAACGTCTTTGAGTAAAGATCGTATTTGAGTATATGACGTCTTTGAGTAGATAATGTCTTTGAGTATATGACATCTTTGAGTAGATAATGTCTTTGAGTATATGACGTCTTTGAGTAGATAATGTCTTTGATTAGCTAACGTCTTTGAGTTGATAACGTCAGTGCGTAGCATAATGTCTTTGAGTAGACGTTAACGTCTCAGAGTAGACGGGAACGTCTTTGAGAGATGAGGTCTGTGAGTAGCATAACGTCTTTGAGTAGATAATGTCTGTGAGTAGCACAACGGCTTTGAGCCTTTTCTGTGTGGTAAAAGTAATTTACAGGAATGTGAAACATGGAACGCATCTCAGTATTTTCAGACTTGCACAAAGAGGATCGAAATTTTCTTGAACAAGTGTCAAAGAAAGTTATTCTGGATAAGATGGACAGACAGGGTCACCAACGGAGAAGAGTTAAGGAAGACAAAACACAGTCAGGTCGGAGATGAAGTGGGAAGAAGGCGGAGGCGAGGAATTGGAATACTTTCAGGGAGATAGGAAACTACATAACAAAAAAAAAGTGTTGGATTGGAATTCACAGGGTAAGAGATCAAAGGGAATGTCATTTGGAAGCTGCAGAAGAGTAAAACATTAAAAAAAAGTGTTGGATTGGAATCCACTTGTTAAGAGATCAAAAGGAATACCATTTGGAAACTGCAGAAGAGTAAAACAGAATGAATGTTGTAGCATCTCCGTCAGTTTGCTTGGATGTTGTATCCCACTCAACCTCGATTAGCTCTGATAGGCAATGTGGAAGCAATCGGCCTCTTAAATGAACCCCCTCCCCCCTCCTTTTTCTGTAAAGCCCGGCCAATATCACACTCTATTCATTTCTCCAGAGATATTCAAAACTCTTGTTATTGCGATCACTCACCGGAAGTGTCGAGAACAGTCTCCAAATCCTCTTCCCGCTCTCTGAAAGGGTTTGCAGACGACAAACTGCCATCTTTCTTTGAGGCCAGCCCATACGAGTAGGTGGACAGGAGACTGAAGCGTCGGCTGGCGATTTCCTGAGCAACAGACACGACATAGGCTGAATTCTTTACCTCTTTGACTTTATGTTAGTTAATTAGTTTGTTTGTTTGAGTAAAGAGAAGCACTTCGGCACAATAATGTAATGGTCACTTAGTGCTGAGAAAAAGTAAGACAGGTAGACATAAAGAACAAAAGGGAAAGTAAAGAAGTAGGACTGTAAGACCTACCATTGGCGCTCTTCAACCACCCGCAAAGACAGACAGCCAGAAGCAACACAAGGAAAGCAACGACGTAGGACCTACCAGTGACACCCTCCAACCACCTGCTGACAAGAATGCATGACCTCAATGAGTGAAGAACTACGCTTTCTCAAAACCGAGAAGGCCTAGGTGAAGACAGATCCCCGCGGTGTTGTACAATGTATGTAGTGATAATAATAGATAGCATTTGTATAGCGCAAACCCCCGCTCAACAGCAAGCTCTATGCGCTTCACAATTTATACTATTACCCCAGCAGATCCAAGAGCATTTTGAGTGCAAGCGGCCATTTATACGCACTAAAACACTAACAAACTGACAAGATCTTTCGCTGTCTATGGCCGGGTACCTATTCCCACCTGGGTGAAGAGAGGAAAACTCGTGTAAAGTGCCTTTCCCAACGACACAACGTCGGGTCCGCGGCTCGAACCCCCGAACCCGCAACCTCACGATCACGAGTCATGTAGCCTACGAGGCTGTACAAGCTATCTTTAAGAAGAGGAGGACCCACTTTGACAATAACTCAATCATCTCTACAACCATCTCAACAAAACTATAGACTAACAAAATTCAACCATGGAGACATTAAGTCTGTAAATATGAAGAATAAGAAAATCAATTAAATTTTTCGAGAAATATCAAGTTTTTAAAATTTAAACCAAAATTGAATAAAACGCAAAATTTTTATTTCTTTACAGCGTTCGACTACAGGGGCGTGATCGTCAGGTTCTGGTTCCAGGACAAGAGGATAAAACCACGACAGTCACACCTGATGGATATCTCACTGTGCTGAGAAAGTTTTGTAGAAGTTTGAGGAGGGGGTATTATGCTGTAGAGGCGTGGTTCTAGTAAGATGGGTCCACAACCCACACGTCAAGAGTGGCATTTGTGTAGGTAGTTGTAAGAAAGGTTTAGGGAGCGCCTTACAATGCGAAAGTTTACATATGAATGGTCACACATTCTCAATAACTTGAGACCTTTCAATCATTACTTTTGGGAATCTTTTACGGACAGAGTCTACGGAAATAAGCCACAAACAATCACACAGTTAAAACCCAAAGTTGAACATGACGTCCAAAGAATCTACCCCGAAACACGCCCGGGGCCATTCAAAATTAACAGTTGCATACGGAAGCTAGTAGCGAGAGAAATGGTCCACACCTAAAGATTTAAATAGCCATCACCTCCCAGGATTTATTTGGCACTGTTAATGTTGTATAAATCTGTTCTTCACTGCACAAATAGTGACTATTTGAAATGGAACAATATCGATGATTTTTAAGAAGTTGCAAAGTTTTGCATTTCACTCAATTTTGGTTGAAATTTTAAAAACTTGATATTTTTCGACCATGCCGGTTGATTTCTTTCATACTCAAAAATGCAACGTCCCCTTTGTTGAATTTTATTTCTTCGAAGTTTTGTTCAAATTGTCTCAAAGACGACCGAGTTATTGCCCTTTAAATGGGTCCTCTTATTTAAGACACCCGGTACTTGGGTAAGGCATGGCTCCCCTGCTGGTCTTTGTGCTTGTTTATCGTGTGATCTTTATTTCTATAAATGGTGTGTAAAGAGAGAGAGAGAGAGAGAGAGAGAGAGAAAGAGAGAGAAAGAGAGACAGAGAGAGAGAGAGAGAGGGGGGGGAGAGAGAGAAAGAGAGAGAAAGAGAGAGAGAGAGAGAGAGAGAGAGAGAGAGAGAGAGAGAGAGAGAGAGAGAGAGAGAGAGAGAGAGAGAGAGAGAGAGAGAGAGAGAGTTGGCGAGCATAAACATGACGTTAAAACCTTTATTGCTGCATTGCGTTGCTATTAAATGCTCGTGCTGATTGCTTTGCTACACTATAAAAATTGAGTCGCTATTTTTAACCCCTGGGTAACAAACAAAGTGAAAGAAAGAGGCGTAAACACCTACATTAAAACAAACAAACAAACAAACAAGCAAGCAAACAAACAAGCAAACAGTAACAGATACAGAAGTTGGCGGGTGCTCTGGTGTGGTTTGTTCCTTCATTCCTATCCAACATCTATCGTCCTGATCTCTCCTCCTTCTTTTTATGTTTGTAACTCTCTTGTAATGTAAGATTTAGGCCTACCTTGTATAAGTCTTTCTTGCATTGTCGATGAAAGGGGGGCCCCAATCCTGTAAGCTTAGGCACTTATATGACCTAATTGTGTTGCAAGTGCCGTAAAACTCTTATAAAACTAAAAAGAAATTCTATTCCTCACCTCTTGAGTGGGATCGGCGTCTGGGACTCCCAGCTGGTCCGGGAAGGACCGAACAAACACCGCTTGTTTCGTTGACATCATGAACTCTTCCTACTTGTGTTCCTTACAGCCGATGTTATCCATATTAAGGGCACACAGAAATGTTCCGAGAAATGTGAGTTTGTACATCGGTTTTTCCAACAAAACCTGATTTGCTCGTTATGGATTTACTTTTCAATAAGCTCTGTAGTGGTTCTGATGACGTAATAGATTCTCAATTTATTCTTCTGGTTTCACTTCTTTAGAAAATCGGCGCTAATGTGACCAATTTCTGTTGCAATGCGGTTGGTAAAACTCCTACTTAAACTAGAACTTTGTTTGAACCTATCTCTGTCCGCTAACTAGTTATCTTGTGTGTTTGTCTTTTCCTCCACTTCTGTGTCTCTGTTCGTCCGTCCAACTGTTGACGGTCAGCTGACAATAAATTGAAACTTCCAAGATCCGCTTGAAATCAACACTTTTGTTACTACATGTACTACACTCCTTTTTTCCAATGTGCATGTCCAGAAGGAAGTACCTGAGAGATCTACTTGTTGTCTTCAAACGTTGACCGCTGCTTGGTCTCTGTCAGGTGCTTGACCTTCCTGCAGAATAATAAATAATAAATTACAACGTTTCACATGTTATTAAGTTATGGGTATGGGGAAGAGATCAGATATAGAAGCTCTTGTGTATCAAGTAAATAAAACCTCCTAGGTCGTTTCCCCCTTTGTCCACTCTCCGTCCGTATCCCCTTCTTGTCTTCTTGTCTTCTTGTCTTCTTGTCTTCTTGTCTGCCAGAAGACATTGCGCATTTCACACCATTTCCTACACTGTAAGATATTAAAGAGGCCAGACCTCCGAATCTAACGCCAGTCTCTAATGACGCTGAGTCAAACTTCCCTTTTGGTAATTCGAACCAGAGCCCAGCATTTTGATACTAACAAAGCAATTGGTGCGCACATGTCACACATTGCAACATCGTCAATATCCAAACGACACACATCTGACCACTGTACATAGCAGTATGAGACTTCAAACGTAACTTCACTGTCATGTTCACATCTCAGAAAATCCGTTGAGTATTTGGAATTAGACACTTCGGGCGAAAGTGGTTTTGCAGAATTTAGGCCAAGCTGTTTTGTTTTTTGTTTTGTTTTTGACAATGATAATGACAATTACAATTTCTATTCTTGTCACAGGGAGGCATATTTATTCAGTACTGTCTTGGTGGAGTCCAGTGACAGTGGTGTTACAAAGTTCATCCACACTCACACATTATGCACACAGCAACAACAACTGCAGACTTAGAGGTAGGCAAAATTCAGTCACATTCGACAAGAGGAACATGCTTAAGTCTACACTGAGGTACGCTGCACTGTTTGCTCTCAGGGCTGGGGCTCCGTCAATAAAGCCCGCCAGCAATTTCCGGAGCTCCCCCAAAGTGACCTTATCTATTCTATAATAGCGTTACTACGAGAGTAACTGACGTGTAATAAGGACAGAGACGTTTCGGAGCTCATAAATCAGAGACATGCTCGGGTCCCAGCTGATAAGGTAGGAAGTGAAAAAGTTAATACTGTTGAACCTGCTCTAACGGCCACCTGTATAAGACAATAACCTGAACTAATGGCCACTTCCCATTACCGTCCATGTGTATTTCTTACACTATAATGGCAGTGTGTAAGACAGCTACCTGTCTAAATGAAGAAGGGAAACTGCTAACAGAACTGAAGAGGTCAATGATTTTAAAAGTATTACAAGTAAGGAAATTGCTAGCAAATCGACCTCATGCTGGTTCTACTTCATGTTGTCATTATACGCAGGTCGTCAGAGGTCTCCGTTGTTCGGTCCTTCTTCGCAACCTCCTTCTCTTGTCTTTTACCTATCAATCTTGCATATTTCCGAAGCATATATATTTTGTTTGTCGGTGTGCTTCTCTTTACTGTTGATCACACAAAGCTTAGGTTGTGGGGCTAAGGTAGAGGTAAGAAAAAAGACAAAGACTTACGATGCCAAGTATCAATCCAACCGTGAATTAACTTTTTTGTGTATAATGTTGGCCTAGGCTTGTTTTTGTGTTTTTAAAAACTTGATTTGCTTTAAAAAACAAAACAATTTGTGGCTTAGTTGGTTTTTTCTTGATTCATTCCACGTAGATGCCCACAGGTACTGAATGGTGATTATTTTGTTTTATTCTGGGCTTGTCCTGTTTTTTTACTTGACGACTCCAAATGGTGCACTCGGAAATCCAAGCCTGAAGATTTAGACTTCAAACTTCTCTACTTTTTTGTTTCATTTTTCCTACAGTTTTAGAATAATACCATCCGCTATTACTGCTTATTATACAGAAGCAATAGAATGAGCAGTAATGACAGCTTTTCGTTGAGGGGAGGACACTTATTTTAGAAGGGTTCATCAGCCTTCTAAAATTAGTTTCCTTCCCTCAATAAAAAAAATATAGATGTCGCAACCGGCGTTTCCCAGGACATTTCGAAAGTAACACTAACATAGGAGTGCGTTGCTATTAAATGCTCGTGCTGATTGCTTTGCTACACTATAAAAATTGAGTCGCTATTTTTAACCCCTGGGTAACAAACAAAGTGAAAGAAAGAGGCGTAAACACCTACATTAAAAAAAAGAAAGAAAGAAAAAAAGAAAGAAAAGAAACAAGGAAACAGTAACAGATACAGAAGTTGGCGGGTGCTCTGGTGTGGTTTGTTCCTTCTTTCCTATCAAACATCTATCGTCCTGATCTCTCCTCCTTCTTTTTATGTTTGTAACTCTCTTGTAATGTAAGATTTAGGCCTACCTTGTATAAGTCTTTCTTGCATTGTCGATGAAAGGGGGGCCCCAATCCTGTAAGCTTAGGCACTTATATGACCTAATTGTGTTGCAAGTGCCGTAAAACTCTTATAAAACTAAAAAGAAATTCTATTCCTCACCTCTTGAGTGGGATCGGCGTCTGGGACTCCCAGCTGGTCCGGGAAGGACCGAACAAACACCGCTTGTTTCGTTGACATCATGAACTCTTCCTACTTGTGTTCCTTACAGCCGATGTTATCCATATTAAGGGCACACAGAAATGTTCCGAGAAATGTGAGTTTGTACATCGGTTTTTCCAACAAAACCTGATTTGCTCGTTATGGATTTACTTTTCAATAAGCTCTGTAGTGGTTCTGATGACGTAATAGATTCTCAATTTATTCTTCTGGTTTCACTTCTTTAGAAAATCGGCGCTAATGTGACCAATTTCTGTTGCAATGCGGTTGGTAAAACTCCTACTTAAACTAGAACTTTGTTTGAACCTATCTCTGTCCGCTAACTAGTTATCTTGTGTGTTTGTCTTTTCCTCCACTTCTGTGTCTCTGTTCGTCCGTCCAACTGTTGACGGTCAGCTGACAATAAATTGAAACTTCCAAGATCCGCTTGAAATCAACACTTTTGTTACTACATGTACTACACTCCTTTTTTCCAATGTGCATGTCCAGAAGGAAGTACCTGAGAGATCTACTTGTTGTCTTCAAACGTTGACCGCTGCTTGGTCTCTGTCAGGTGCTTGACCTTCCTGCAGAATAATAAATAATAAATTACAACGTTTCACATGTTATTAAGTTATGGGTATGGGGAAGAGATCAGATATAGAAGCTCTTGTGTATCAAGTAAATAAAACCTCCTAGGTCGTTTCCCCCTTTGTCCACTCTCCGTCCGTATCCCCTTCTTGTCTTCTTGTCTTCTTGTCTTC